GCTGACGCCACGGCACTCTAGCCCGGGCAACAGAGTGAGACAAGAAAAAGACAAGTGCAGCATCAGAGAATGTATCATCAAAAGCATTTCTATAATATATTAGATGATCTTTATTAGAATCCATCCCACTTTTAATATCATTAATCTTCAAAAAAGAAGCATATGGCCAGGTATGGTCGCTCACATCTGTAATCCCAGCACTCTGGGAAGCCAAGGTAAGAGTATTACTTGAGGCCAAGGGTTTGAGACCAGCCTGGGCAACACAGTGGGACTCTGTCTCTACAAAAAATTTTAAAAATTAGCTGGGTGTCATGGCATGTGCCTGTAGTCCTAGCTACTTGGGAAGCTGCGGCAGGAGGATCACCTGAGCCCAGAAGTTTCAGGGTACAGGGAGCTATGATTGTGCCATTGCACTACCGCCTGGTTGACAAAAGCCAAGACCCTGTCTCTAAAACAAACAAACTAAAGGCAGCATAAAAAGATAAGGCAGATAAGAACACCTAATTACAAAACCTATTAACTAGTCAAGATTATTACCTTTTGCAGTATGTATTATAGCCCTTGGTACTCATATTAAGGCACGTTGCTGAGACATTAATGTTAAAGAAAAAAGAGAAAGTATTTGAGAAGAAAAGTGAGAAAACTAATTTCTAGAGTTAGAAAGAACCTGAGTGGACTCTCTTGCCTTGACAAAACATTCTTCTTCCTTTAAACGTAAGGAAGGCATTCTTCACATTGCTGTTGTCTTTACTTCTCTCTGCTTCTGGCCTAACTCAGAATTATAACCCTTGTCTTCAGTCTCCAGGTCTCTGCGGAGGCTATTTCTTGCTGTGCTGGTTTAGTCTGGTTTGTGCAGAATATATTTGGTAATGGCCATTGCTGTAGGGGAGATTTTGAGGCTGTGCCTTCTCTTGAGCCTTCAGGAACTGGAAAAATCTTAAAGCTAATCACATACAGTACAGCGAAAAGGATGTTGCCCTTACAGTTTCTGTATTGGGTTCCTTTAATGGCAGTTGTCAAAGAAATACCTCTGTCAGCTACATGCTTAAAATAAAGCTGGCTAAGGGTTGATAAGAAATAGAAGTAGAGCTGCAGAGCCCAGCATAACCAGTAAGACGATCCCACCAGTGGGGAAAGACAGGGGTTGTCATCTAATAATGACATATTTAAAAAAAGAATGATTGTATTATATGGACATTTTGTTAACTTTAAGAGAACTTGGTTTCATTTGATAGGTATATTTAACAAAACTTGTCTACTAACTTGTTTTAGGCTTCAAAGTATAATATTTTGCTGTAACTTGGGTCCTCCTCTTAAATAGGACCCTATTAGAAAAGGACTTCTACTTTGGATTCTAATAGGGAAACAGCAAAAGAGCATTTTTCTATCCTTTTTGATTTATTAACAAACTAGAATCTTGCAAACTGCCTTGGTAATTTTAATCACTTTATCAGTTTTGTGCATAATGTAATAAAGAAGCAATTTTTTCAGAAAAAATTTAATTGAGACTGTATTTTAAAGTAATTATAGTACAATATCTTACTCTTTCTCCATCTGACAAGTGGTGTGCTCTATTTAATTTTACTTAAAATATAGTTATAAACAAGTGAATATATGATTCATTGACCAATGAGTAACATTAAATCATGTTTGGTTTGGGGACAGAGTGTATTATAATGAAAACTGAAACATTAGAATAAGTAAACAGTGCTTTATGTGTTAAAAGTTTCTAAAGTAGACAGACTACATTCATCATTTGATATTTGGAATCCTTGTATTTTGGGCTTAAGATCAACTGGTTTATTTTTATCATTGGGGGAAGAAAAAGGCTCTAATGACAGAATAAGAGAGTTAGTGTAAGTATTTCTCTGCAAATAACTCACTGTAGGTGGTTAGTCTTTGTTTCCAGGTAAACAAAAAACCAAATTGGATATATCATCACTGTATTTAGGGCTGTAGCGGGGAAGGGCCACCATTCTAATTATATAGCATGCCAGATAATGCTGTTGAGGTCTTTGTCTATTTTACTTTTTATTAAAAAACATTTAAAAATTGGACCTTAAAGTGAGTACTCCTGATTTTTAAAACATCTTGATATATTGGCACTTAGTAGGCATCAAAATGAATAAATGTTTGCTTGAAATTAGGTGTGTGAGTGAGTTTCTGACAGACACCACCAGGAAGGGTGGTGGATAACCTGGGGTAGAGAAGACGTGAGTAACAGCTGCCCTGTGCTGCCGATGGCACGCGCTCCTGCTGACTCTTCCGTACCTGGGCCTGAGCAGACAGAGGTTAGCCTGGGAGGCACTGTCACGTTTTGGAGTCATATAGTTCTGGATTTGAGTCTCAGCTCTCACTTGCTCATTGGCTTATATGCTTTATATATTTATATTACTTCAGAGATATAGACGGTATTTTATAATGGTTAAGTTGTGTCCATGGTTTACTATTAAACATAACAATTGTCACATACCATTGCTACCACAGAAGTGTCATGACAGTGGTCATCTGTTTTAATCAACTGCTGCTTTCTGATCTGAGAATAGTGAGGCACTTGGTAAATAAGACATTGCATTTTTAAATAGTTAATGCATTGACTTGGCACAAAACCCAGCAGGTACAAGGGTGCAGTGAAAGTCTCACTTGCCCTGCTCTCTAACCACCCACGGTCACTGCGGAGCACGCGCCCCGCCTTGCACCGGCGTGCCTCGCGCGGGCACCGCTGTGGAGCAGGAGCTCTGCAGGTGCGCTGTGCACCTGCGGTTCCCAGAGAGCGAGGGTCGCGGTGACTCTCAGAACCAAAGAGGGGCTTTTCAACACAGAGGGCCACTCCCTGCTCTCCAGCCTCACTCCCCAAGTCCTGATTCACCCCCTCCTTCAAATACCAAAAAAATATAACTTTCCAAAGATCACACATATTAAGTAAAATAACCTATATAGAACACTTAATATAACTAAATATCCCTGACACTGTTAGGTGGCCGACAGTTGAATTCAGGGCATTATCTGCCCTTTTAAAAGACTTGAGTTTTCTTTTAGCCAGTAAGCCCATGAACAGTTCTTACTTAACAAATAATTTCCAGTGTATTCTCAATGATGTGAGATTTGTTTCCTGATAATCCTTTTTAGTTTCTATTTAGTTTTTATTATAGAAGTCAATGTTTATTAGAGATAAATTAGAAAATACTAGCATAAAGAAAGTTGAGATTATTCACATTCTAGCCTCCTAGAGGTAAATTGTTGGTATTTTGATCTATATCCAGACATTATTTTTTCTAATGAAAAATGGAATCATCTTGTAAAATTGTCTTAACAGTGTGCTTTTCAAAGCTGTGTCCCATAAATCTTTCCATGTCAGATGTGTAAGTTTTTGAACCAATTGATACCTGAGCTATTTTTCTGCTAGACCATGAACTTCCTGGGAGCAAGGATGGTGTTTCATGCTTCCTTGTATCAGCGTACCTAGCACAGCCTCTGCTTTATCATGTATCTCAGGGAATGTGTGTTGAATGAAAACCACAAATAAAATGTGCAGCTACTGGGCGTGAGCCAGGCCCAGCCCCGGATGGGTTCTGAGCTTGACTGCCCACATGTGTAGATAACTTTTTTCTTTTCCAATCTTTGTAGGACCTACTAAATGAAGCAAAACAGAGACTCAGCAAGGTGGTAAAAGATTCAACCAGGTACCAGGTGCTGCTGGATGGACTGGTCCTCCAGGTAGGTAACCCTTACAGGCCAGGTCTACCATTTATAGCCACAGTTCAGAGAAAATTTGCAGGATCTATTAGGACCAGCTCTGTTTTTCCTGTTTTCTCATCTTAGCTTTTTTCCTTTTACTTGTTACCTTGTCTAAAATATGTGCTGCATAGGAGGATAGTATTATCTGTCTGGTTGGATAAGACTTCCAGGCTTACTACTCTTTTATATAGTCTTTTTAGTCCTTTATGATTCAAGGGTCAAAGTTGCTTGCAAGGCCAACTTTAAACTTAACTATTAGTAATTTGATTTTACCACTTAAAATACTTGCTTTAGACATTAGGGTTCAGACCAAACACTTTATACATTTTGTTGACTGCTGGCACGTGAATCCTTATTTTCCTTATGTTAATCACACTAATATTTGTCCTCAAGCTGGCTGACATAAGACTTCCATATGAATTTTGTTTTGACCATCAAAGCATTGGTCGCATTTGTCTGGTTTGTGACAAGAAAGATGATCTTTTTTCTGCGTTCTCATATGGTATATGCCGTCTTTTAGAGGAACTTAACGGGGGACGTTTTTCCAAACTAGATGAAAGAACTATAAAAACATTTTATTTTGCCGTTACTTTATTTTATAGTTTGCATTTTTTACTAATTGTATCTGATTATTTCCTACAGGGTTTGTACCAGTTGCTGGAGCCCCGAATGATTGTTCGTTGCAGGAAACAGGATTTACCTCTGGTAAAGGTAAAGCACTTAGAAGAAGAAATCTCTCTCTCTTTTTTTTTTAAACATCAAAATGTTAGGATCAAATGTATATTCTAATAGATAACATCTCAACCATGGGATCTGAAGGAGTCTTAACACATTGTAGGTAGTACTTTAAGTATACTTAAGTCTCTAATTTCTTTCTTTAAAAGAAGTCAAGTTGCCATCCAAGCTAGTACGCTCTGTTTCTAGGAACTTGGTAATACCATAATATTAACATCATATAATAAATGATGCACCTCCTAGAATGGAGCAAAGATAAGCTATGCCATCCTAAAGAGGTGACCCATTACCAGACAAGCAAGGCTTGGCTTTGACGTCATTCAGTATATTCATTCACACACACACAGGAGGAATGTGGGTGCCAGAAGCAGTTGGTCAGCTCTGATTCTGGTATCAGTTTGCTCTTCAGATTAAAATCCTGTCATGTAGCTTGCTTCAGGGCAAGGATGTGAGTGCTCAGTCACCTGGCAATTACATTTCTTATTTTATGAATTAGTACATTTTTAGTATATTTATGTTTGTAATTATATTTATTATTGTCTCTCCAAGTAACTTGTCCACTAGCAAAGAAAATGTGCTAACCAGAGAACGTAGATATTCATTCTGCACTGTAATAAGTTGTGATTCTGGTTTATAAGCAATTGCAGTAACCTGACTCCACGATGGTGCTGACGGTCTCATTTACGAACCCGTGAAGCAGAGAGACGTTCACCAGGGTGATACCATTCCACGGAGGGAGGTCTTAAATGACAGCTGGCCCTCACTAGATGACACCATATTTCTGGGTGACAAGGAAGCTTTTTCTTGAAACTTCTGCAGTGTCAGTGTCCAGTGTCAGTGATTAGCTCTCCAAAACGGGGCTATGTTATATTTGAGAAGCAGAGAATTACTGAATATATGCATCAGTTTGTTTAATAAGTAATATTGCCAGAGAAAAATGTTTAAAGTTCCTTCAACTCCTTCAAGAAAATTATTTACATGGCTAATTGAGTGTGCACAATATTTTCAAAGATGGGACTTTCTTAAGAGAAATGTGAGTTGTATGTAAAAAAAAAAAAAGACTTTCAACTAATTATGTTTTGCCACACTAATTGCTATATAGCAGTAAAAATTCATCCTTTTTTTTTTTTTCCAATGAGCTGTTTTTTTTAAAATTGTGGTCAAACATACAGAACATAAAACTTACCATTTTAAGTGCGCACTTTTATTGGTATTGACTACATTCATGTTGCTGTGCAACCAGCCCCACTATCCATCTTCAGAACTTGTTCATCTTCTCACACTGAAACTCTGTGCCCGTTACACAGTAAGTCCCCATTCTCCCTGTTTTATTCCAGGTGCCTCCCATAAGTGGAATCATACAGTAGTTTTTCTTTTGTGTTTGATTATTTCATTTAGCTTAATGTCTTCAGGCTTCATCCATGTTGTAGCACGTGTCAATATCCTTCCTTTTTAAGGCTGAATAATATTCCATCGTATGTATATACCGCATTTTGTTTCTCCATCCATCCATCAGTGGACACTTAGGTGACCACCCTTTTGGCTGTTGTAAATAATGTTGCTGTGCGCATGGGTGGGCAGATGTCTGTCCTGCTTTCAGTCTTTTGGGAATATACCCAGAAGTGGAATTGCTGGATCCTACGGTAATTCTGCGTTTAATTTTTTGAGGAACTGCCATGGTGTTTTCCACAGCGGCTGCACTATTTTACATTCCTACCAGCAGCGCACAAGGGTTCCGATTTCTCCACATCCTCGCCAGCACTTGTTGTTTTCTGGTTTTTTGATAATAGCCTTCCTAGTGGGTGTGCAGTGGTACCGCTTTTTCTCTTTTTATTCTTTTTTTTTTTTCGAGACAGGGTCTTGCTTTGTTGCCTGGGCTGGAGTACAGTGGTGTCATCACAGCTCACAGCAACCTCAAACTCCTGGGCTCAAGCGATCTTCCTGCCTCAGCCTCCTGAGTAGCTGGGTGTACAGGTGTACATCACCATGCTGGGCTAATTTTTCCTTTTATTTTTTGTAGAGACGGAGTCTTGCTTTCTTTTTTTTTTTTTTTTTTGAGACAGAGTCTCACTCTCTTGCCTGGGGCGAGTGCCGTGGTGTCATCCTAGCTCACAGCAACCTCAAACTCCTGGGCTCAAGCGATCCTACTGCCTCAGCCTCCCGAGTAGCTGGGACTACAGGCACGCGCCACCATGCCCGGCTAATTTTTTCTATATTTTTTGAGGTTTGGCCAATTTCTTTCTATTTTGGTAGAGACGGGGGTCTCGCTCTTGCTCAGGCTGGTCTCGAACTCCCGAGCTCAGAACGATCCGCCCGCCTCGGCCTCCCAGAGAGCTAGGATTACAGGCGTGAGCCACCGCGCCCGGCCGGTCTTGCTTTCTTGAACATACTGTCATCCCCTCTTTTGCAGCTGCCACTTTAAGCCAAACTTAACAGCCAGACTTTTTTTCCCCTCCCTTCTCTCCTTACTTTACCCACTCCTTCTAGTGCTCATAGTTGGGGTGATAATGTAGCTTTCTCCTGCTGGTTCATGTTTTAAATCTGATATCTGCCCTGGTGTGTTTAATCAACTGCCAAGCCCTATTGATTCTTCGCAGAAATTGCTGACATCTCCTCCCTCCTGCATGTAGGATCTCATTTTATCTCATTTTTCCTTGGCGGCTCTGTCGTTTTACATTCCCACCAGCAGTACATCTATTCTTTTACTTGAAATAAATGGAAATATTCTTGCTTGTGTAGTTTGTTGATTTTTTGGATACCTGCTCCATAGTTTCTGTTAAATGCCACTCATTGTTTCCTGTTTTTCCAGGCTGCAGTGCAAAAGGCGATCCCTATGTACAAAATTGCCACTAAAAATGATGTTGATGTCCAAATTGATCAGGAGGCCTACCTGCCTGAGGACATGTAAGGAGTATCCTACTGTTAACAGCTTCTCTCCCTGGGAGAATAGCCTTTATATGGGGCTTTATTTTAAAGCATGTTTTTTCCAACACTCTTAGCCACAAGAATAGAGCCATGGTTGTGTTCCGCTTGGAACTGGTGCTGTTTTTCTGTCAGTGGTCTGTTGTTGTTCTCCCTTGTAAACCAGCTAAATAGACTCTAAAAGTCTAGTTTATGGTCACTCCATTCATCCTGCAGAGGTGGCACCTAGAACTTAAACCTGGGTCCAGATCTCTCTGTTAGATTCTGAGGAAAATAATTGCGACTTCTAAGAGGTTATCCAAAACAAGAATTGTTACTGTGCATAGCTAATAATTAGCTTCCTTGGAGATGGAATTGCAAGTACCAATGGTACTTCTCCTGACTGCGAGGAAATGACAGAACATTTCCAGACCAGTGTCACTAGTCAACTGCCTGCATCGGGTAGGCAGTAGAACCCCTAACGAGGTTAGCGCCTGGGTCTTCTTCTCCATCTCACCTGCCTGTCCGGTGCCATCGCACCATGCCACTGACTGACGCTGAAGAGAGTCCTCGGGACACATTATGAACTTACTTGATAGAATAGAGTACCACACTTAGGACTGTAAGACCTAGATTTGAGTCCTGACTTGGCCTTTCACTAGCTATGGGACCTAGAAACTGAATTCATCATCTGTAAAATGGGATCAGTGCTTTTTGCTTTCTCATTTCATGAAGTGAAGAAGAAGGATGAGGTAGTATGTGTGAAAGTGCCTTATAAATGGAGAAGGTATATATACCTGTGAACGTTATTGTCAGATTGGGCTTTGATTTCCATTCTGCTGCTTAACTAGCTGGGTAATCTTGGACTCTTCATTCAATCCCACTGAGTGCCCTAGTCCATTTAGTGTTTCTCTAACAGTACCTGAGGCTGGGTAATTGATAAAGAGGTTTATTTGGGTTATGATTCTGGCTCAAGGTTGGGCAGCCTCTAGTGAGGGCTGGTGGGGTGTGGGCGTGTGCAAAGCTCATGTGGCGAGAGAGGAAGCAAGAGTCTAGGAAGCAAACTCACTTTAACAAGCCGCTCTCTGGTAACTAATCCAGTTCTGTGAGAGCTGGAACTCACTTCCGAGGGAGGACATAATCTATTCTGGGCGGATCTGCCCCCAATACCCAGACACCTCCCAACACTGCCACATTGGGAATCAAATGTCATTGTCAGTTTCCGAGGAGCAAACTTAAACCATAGCGCTGAGCCTTCGTTTCCTCATCTTTAAATTGGGATGGTAGGCCGGGCGCAGTGGCTCACACCTGTAATCCTAGCACTCTGGGAGGCCGAGGTGGGTGGATCGTTTGAGCTCAGGAGTTTAAGACCAGCCTGAGCAAGAGCAAGACCCCGTCTCTACCAACAATAGAAAGAAATTAATTGAACAACTAAAAATATATAGAAAAAATTAGCTGGGCATGGTGGCGCATGCCTGTAGTCCCAGCTACTCGGGAGGCTGAGGCAGGAGGATCACTTGAGCCCAGGAGTCTGAGGTTGCTGTGAGCTAGGCTGACACCATGGCACTCTAGCCCGGGCAACAGAGTGAGACTCTGTCTCAAAAAAATAAATAAATAAATAAATGGGGATGGTAGCACCTGCCTCATAGACTTCTTGGTAAGCTTAAATAACATCGAGACAGCACTTAACACAATGCCTGGTACAGGCTCAGGGCTCAATATACAGTTATTCTTCTGTCAAAAAATCATTGTTGTAGAGATTGAGTAAATAGTATATAAAACATTTACTTCAGGGGTTGGTAAATAAAGGTCTTATCAAAGACCAACTGTTCTTATCTGAACGTTTGGGGCCAAATGTGCTTTGAATTTCAGAGTTTAGAAAAATAATAAAGTACATATTTGGCATGTTATGTAATATTCCCACAGGGTCTGAAGCATCACCCCCACAATCAAATATACTAGTATTTCTGAATGGAAATAAGAATATTCACCCTACGTGGAATAAATAAAGATTTGCTAGACATTTGCTGCTGAATGACTGACTAGAGGTCAGTTCAGGTTTTAGAGCCACATGAATTCATTTTTTTTTTTTTTAGAGCTTTTTGAAATTCAGAATTATAGATAAGAGATAGTGGACTTACTATTGCAAATTTTTTTTCTTTTTGAGACAGAGTCTCACTCTGTTGCCCGGGCTAGAGTGCCATGGTGTCAGCCTAGCTCTCAGCAACCTCAGACTCCTGGGCTCAAGTGATCCTCTGCCTCAGCCTCCTGAGTAGCTGGGACTACAGGCTAATTTTTTCTATATATATATTTTTAGTTGTCTGATTAATTTCTTTCTGTTGTTGGTAAGGACGGGGTCTCGCTCTTGCTCAGGCTGGTGTCGAACTCCTGAGCTCAAACGATCCACCCGCCTCGGCCTCCCAGAGAGCTAGGATTATAGGCGTGAGCTGTTTCCCTGTTATAAAACAGCGAGGACACTGACTCCGGTACGGTTATCGGAAGCGGAAGCGTAAGTGAGAAGTGATCAAAAGCCCTGGCTTCACTTTCGGGGGAGCCTGGCGCGCGGCGGATGTCCTGCCGTGGTAGCACTCTCCCTTCCCTCTCCTCGCAGCCAGACGAAGAATTGTGTCACAGACGGTGGGCCAGGGTTTCAGCAAAGAACCGCGCCCTTATGAAGGATGCGGTCTGCTTAGAGAAGCCAAAAGTAGATGAAATACAGAAATGGCAAGGAGGGGGGGAAAGTGGACTGAGAAAATAATGTTAATGCCATAGTCCCTGAAAATTTGTGAAACCTTTCCCAGCCTTTGTCTGATAGCCTGCTTATTTCAAGAAATTTTGATAAAATGAAGTTATATTGTAGCAAGTGAATTTCATTTCCTCAGGTTGCCTATAATAGAATTGGGCCTGTTACCTTATGTCTCCACGTGCTGAGAAACTGAGGAAAGGAATGAGAGAGAGGTGTGGGGCCAGAGGCAGGACTTGGAGGGAGACTTTGGCAGAAGGTAGCAGTGGTACCTTTTATCCGATCCACATGCAGTCGTGAGTGTTGCCTCATCAGTACGCGTCCCCCCACCCCAATATCGAGCAGGACTGGGGCCTTAAAAGCGTTCAGATGAGGACTGTTCTCATTAATAGACCCGGTTTATTGATTTGCAAACTGCTATGTGCAGTCCTCCCATTTTCATTTTGTTGGGGAGGGCTGGCTGTTAGAATTCAATTAGGGGCTGCAACATAAAATCAAACTGACAGATGGCAGTCACTTGGTAAATGACAGTTATTAGGTTATTAAGTATGGAATGTGCAATTTCCTTAAGTACCAAGTTCGACAGTCGATAGCTCCAGCATTTCACTTTGACACTCTTGTTTGTTTTTTTAATTGTGAAGTTACATCCTCATTCTTTCAAATGCATGTTTTAGCTTGTGATTATCTTTCAGAGTTTTTTTTAGATCAGTTTCTGTGAAACCATGGATAAGTCAAAAATTCGTGTTATTTTTTAATATGAGTTTTGTCATGGAACCAGTGCAGCGCAGGCAACTCAAAATATCAACAAAGTGTTTGGAAAGGAAGTGGCTAATGAACACACAGTATGTCAGTGGTTTGAGAAGTTCCATTCTGGTGATTTTAATCTTGAAAATGAGCCACATGGGTGATCTGAGACCAAGGTGGAGAATGATGAGCTGAAAGCTGTAGTCGAAGTGGATCCATAATTAGCAGCAAGGTTTGATGTTACTATTTCAACAACGTTGGACCATTTGAAACAAATTGGCAAGGTAAAGAAGCTGAATAGGTGGTTCCACATGAATTAAATGAATATCAGAAGAGAAACTGTCTCGAAGCTTGCCTTTCTTTGCTGTCACGACATATAAAGGCGAACCATTTCTACACCATATTGCTATGTGTGATGAAAAATGGATTCCTTTTGACAATTGCAAGCCTTTGGCACAGTGGCTGGATAAAGATGAAGTGCTGAAACATAGTCCAAAACCGAATATTCATCAAAAAAAGCTAATGGTGTCTGGTGGTTCAGCACCGGTATTATCCACTACAGCTTCATGAAACCTGGTCATTTGATTCGAAATTGGTTATTTCATATTTGATGACCTAATATTATCAAGAATATAGTCAGCCCTCTGTATCTGGGTTCCCCATCCATGGATTCAGTCAACTACGATTGCAAATATTTTGCATGTGTACTGAACATGTGGAGATGTTTTTTTCTTTTCATTATTCTCTAAACAATATAGTATGACAACTATTTACATAGCGTTTACATTGTATTAGCTATTTTTATTAATCTAGGTGTGATTTAAAGTATATAGGAGGATGTGTGTAGGTTATATGCAAATACTACACCATTTTATATAAGGGACTTGAGCATCTGGATTTTGGTATCTGTGGGAGTCCTGGAAGGAACCAACTGACCATAAATACTCATAAACTTGTTGAATTTACTTCAAGTCTATTGATTATGTCGTGCGCTCCACACACCAAGACAGCTTTCTTCTGAGGGAATAAGGTAAATGTACCATGTGTGTTTATCTTCCTGAAATCTATAAAAACTGTTATTTCCTGTGTTCCTTGTAGAGCTGGTGGTGTTGAGATCTATAATGGGGATCGTAAAATAAAGGTTTCCAACACCCTGGAGAGCCGGCTGGACCTCATAGCCCAGCAGGTGAGTGTAAGGGCGAACACCTCTCGGGAGCTGGTCGGCTGCCAGCTTTGAAGTGGTCCAGAGAACACCTGTCCCTTCACTGGCATTTGGGATTTGTCACTCTCATTCCATATTTTTGATGTTTTCTTAAAAAGAATGAGGATTAGGCAGGTAGTGGAATTTGCTGAGGTAATACAATTTGCCCGAGGGAGGATTCGGGGTCAGACGAGGGTTTCGTTTACCTAGGATTCTAACGTGTACATTTTCCTGCACGTGGAGATGTCGACTGAAGGTCTCTCTCCAGCAGGACTGATGTGAACCAGAGTAGATACTTGTTGAGAAGAATTATCCTAAGCTTGCTGGTTCTTGAGATGTTCCCAGATTTTTTTTGTACACATGAACTCTAGGAAACAAGCCAGGAAAATTCCACCTGTTCTAAAATGCTGGGCGTCTTCTAGCAGTGGTCGTCTACTGTTAGGACTGCCAACCTAGTTATTCCCTGACCTAGAAGTGCAGTTTACTGTTTATGCAAATTCTAGTCTTATAACTGAAACACTTTCACCTTGAGCATCATATTCTGGTCACTTAAACCTTAGAGCTGTGTTTTCTAGTAGCCACTGTCCTGTCTGATATGGTAGCCACAAGCCACTTGTAGGTATTTAATTTAAGTTTTTTTTTTGTTTTTTTTTTTGAGACAGAGTCTCTCTCTGTTGCCTGGGCTAGAGTGAGTGCCAAGGCATCAGCCTAGCTCACAGCAACCTCAAACTCCTGGGCCAGGGCAATCCTTCTGCCTCAGCCTCCTGAGTAGCTGGGACTACAGGCATGCGCCACCATGCCCGGCTAATTTTTCTAGTTTTAGTAGAGATGGCGTCTCACTCTTGCTCAGGATGGTCTCGAACTCCTGAGCTCAAGCAATCCTCCCGCCTCAGCCTCCCAGAATGCTAGGATTACAGGTGTGAGCCACCGCACCAGGTCATACTTTGATTGAAATTGTAAAATTCAGTTTCTCAATCTTACTAGTCACCCTTCAGGTGTACAGTAACCACATGTAGCTAGTGGCTACCATATTTGACAGCATAGCGTTAGAAGTTTGAGGTTAAATTCTCTTAAGGGTTTCCTAATTGTTATAACAAGTGCTTCAGTCCAAATTTGCATTATAAATATTCTGTGTGGTCACTCCTGGCACAGTAGGCACTCAATAAATGTTTATTGAAAGAGAGAATATAAGTGGCCCAGAATATTATGATGAGATAATACCATTAATGGACCCATCTGTTCTACCAACATCACAGTATAACAGAGGCCTTAGACAGTAATGACTTCAGATTTTTTATTTTTTTTTTCTTTGTCTTTTTTGTAAGCAGTCTTACCCCCAAATTTGGGATTAGTTAAGTTTTTCACCAAGGATTTTGTTACAGTGCTTCAGCTAAGTGAAGGACAGATTTGATGCATTTTGCTTTTGATTTCCTTCCCAGCCATGTTAGAGGTTAATGTCTTTCTGCCTGTGGTTAAGATGCGCAGTTCTTTACAAGTTCTCCCATTAACATTGTGTTTGTTAAATTTTATGTTCACAGATGATGCCAGAAGTACGGGGAGCCTTGTTTGGTGCAAATGCCAATAGGAAGTTTCTGGACTAGGCCTTTGGGAGACGGAGTCCATCCACTACTCTACGGCTACGATATGGAAGCTTCTGATATTTAAAGAAACGAGAGTGTCTGTGTAGCTTCGTCTTTGCTGTCCTAGTGTTGCTCTGTATTTATCAGTGGATACTCTTCTGTGGCTAATGCCCTTGGCCTAGTTGTTAACAGTGGGAGAACATTTCACTTGCTGTGATCAGGCCCCACCTCTAGTTCCTCTCAGAGTAACAGCTCCCAGCTGTTCCCACAGCGTTAGGTGAGGGGGTCAGATGGCGGCTGCATGAACTTCGCCGAGTCTCCTCCTCTTTCTCCAGCCCCCAGTTATCTAGTCTAGAGGGTGATATGTATGGTGTTCTCTGCCTTGAAGTCTCTGCTCTTTAGGTTTAAAACTCACGTGGCACACGCATTCCTCCCAGCAGTAGTAGCTTCACTGTTACCTGTTTTGGCCTAGACATTTTCCTCATCTGTAAATGTGATTTGAAACCTAAGCCATGAATATGCTTTATTTATTAAAACAAAAGATTTATGTGGATTCAATTGTAATTTCTTTTTTTTTTTTTTTTGAGATGGGGTCTCGCTGTCTCCTGGGCTGGAGTGCAGTGGCGTCAGCCTAGCTCACAGCAACCTCGAACTCCTGGGCTCAAGCGATCCTCCTGCCTCAGCCTCCCAAGTAGCAGGGACTACAGGCATGTGCCACCATGCCCGGCTAATTTTTCTATATATTTTTAGTTGTCCAGATAATTTCTTTCTATTTCTTTTAGTAGAGATGGGGTCTTGCTCTTGCTCAGGCTGGTCTCGAACTCCTGAGCTCAAACCATCCACCCGCCTCAGTTTCCCAGAATGCTAGGTTTAATTGTAATTTCTTGTGTAAGGTACTACAAATTTGAGAGAGTGAAGTTCTCACTGAGGTACCTAGAAAAGAAATGTTAATATTTTCCAAGTCCTTATAGCATTTGACGGTTTACAGCTGCCAGTACTGAAACCCTTAACCGTGTGGTTGTCCTCTGGGCTTCCTGCTCATTTTTGGCAGACCACCCCCTGATGGTGTTCGCCCAGCCCATCACTGTCCTCCACGCAGGGGCTTTGGCATCACCTCTCCTCTAGAAGGAAAGAGTTTTACTAGTTTTGGCAGAGTGGTTTTTTGGGGGGGTTGCCATGTGCTGGACCCAGATCCTTAATGAGGCCCTGTGTCCTCTCCCTGTGCTTTGTTGCTTCCTTAGGTGACTAAGCTGCCCACGGCTACCAAATGGCAGAGTGGGGTCTGTGTCGAGAGCCTGTACTAAAGTTCTCTTAGTAGAGAGTGAGGCCACCAAGGCTGACCATTTGAGCACCATCTTCTTCTTCATTAGCCCAAGTTTTAGGTAGGTGGAGACTAATGTAAATACCAACTCCTGCAACAGGTGTTTTTTCCTTGGGACTTGACCCGTGTGTGACAGAATTCTGCCTGAGGCCCATGAGGAGAACTGTCTCAGCAAAGTCCATCCCTCAAGGTGATGCAGTTACGAAGTGATAGAGCCCAAACTCAAAGCCCAGTGTAACTAACTTAGAAATAAAATATCCCCAGGGCTGTTCTCCGTCCCCGTAAGTAACAGTTTAAAGCGTGGTTGTGACCTGCGTCAGGGCTCTTCTTAAACTGGTTGTTCTGAAGTGGACATGGAAAGGTAGGTGACAGATGCTGGTCATTGCAGCCTGTCTGCTGTGCCCACTGATTACTAGATGAGACTTAACTCTTCAACCTTATTTCAGATCGTGTGCCATGGACGCTGGGAGGGATGGGGCTGCGAGAGCCTGTGCCCCGGGAGGAGGATGCGGGGCGGGGTGGGTGCCCCAACTTGGCCCGGGCTGCGCAGTGGAGCCAGCCTCATCCCTCAGCCGTCGGGATGTGGAAGGGCGTGTGTGGTTTCAAATGAGGGCTTTCGTGGTCCCCTGGAACTTCTGATCCTCATTTTCCCCAAAGTCAGTGCTAGGACTAGCCCTAAGTTATTTAATTCAAGATTAACAAAACTAAATCCTCAAATGGGCTCAAGTATGCTGAATGTGAGTATGGAACAGAAATGTTAAAGTATAGAAACAACCCTTCCATCTTTGCTACCTGTTAAGGTCCAGCAATTAATACATCCAAAGCAAGTGCTATTTTTGTCATTGTAAAGCAAGTAGTTTAGGGGCTTCTGGAAGTCCCTGGTAGCTGTACCCCCAAAGGAAATGAATGTAGACTAAGGCTATGCTCAACTCGCTTATTAGAATGGGGTTGTTTCTTCCGAGATTGAGGTAGCGCTACGAGTTAGGGGACAAGATACGGCGCGGGTGGGCCGTCTCGTGCTTATCCCCTCTAGACTAAACAGAGTGGGCTAGAGAGGTGGCCACGAGCACAGGGACTGAGCTCCAGGCCTGTCTACTGAAAACACTTCAGGATGCGCTCTCCGATGCCAAGGAAGTAGACGCCTTGGGCGATCCCGAAGAGAGGAGCCACGACGAGGGCCCGGCATCCTGCTCCTTTCATGAAGGCGGACGGTCCCTCCTGAATCCAGAGCTTCCTGGAGGGGAGGAAGAGCCATGAGTGAAGGGCAGGGCACTCTGCAGCGGGTCCTCGGTGACCGCTTCTCAAACGTGTGCACGTTCCCTTGAGAGGAGGCTGCCCCAGCGTGTGGGGGCCCCTCGCCCACCAGGCCCATGTAGTCTGGTTCCTTAGCAGTTGGGCCAAGGCCTTGGGAAACAGGCTCGATCTGCCAGAATCTTCGTGGGAGAGATGCTGTAGGGACGCAAGGACGAAGACAAAATCCCCCAGAGCATCTAGGTTTCTTTGAGAGGTGAGGGAGTGGGACAGATTTCAGAGAAACCGAGGGCTCAGCAACGAAACTGGTCTCCAGCGCTGACGTGGGCGGGCTCCAGTGCAGAGGAGCCTGTCCCAGCTGCAGTCTGCGGGGACCCTGGGCTCTCACCTGGCGCAGTCGGCAATCCCACTGTAGATGTCCTCACCCTGGCCTTTCTTGAGGGTTTGGATTCGAGTTTTCAGAACTAAATCAAGCAGAAGTTAAAAGAAGCAGTGACCATCTTGCTTTCGGTGTCCTCCCTTCAACACGAAGTAGCTGGGTTCCCTTTTAGAACCAGCGTGTGCTAAACTGAACCATGATGACAATCCGTAAGAGGAGAGCCTCCTCTCCAAGCCTCGTTTATGAAATGGGCGAGGTTGCTTCGAGTGGCTCCTGCTCTGGGAAGTCCGCCTGCGCCGGGGAACCGGAGGCAGCCCTGAGGACGGGGCAGCACCGTCTTCTCACGCGTGGCTCAGTTCCTGCCTTAATCATTTCGAGCGGAGGGTCACAGCTCTACTGGGGGACAGAGCTAGTGAGAGCGGCACCAAGGTAGGGGGATTTGTCAGTGATAAGAAATGGGGAAGGGGCCGGGCGCGGTGGCTCACGCCTGTAATCCTAGCACTCTGGGAGGCTGAGGCGGGTGGATCGCTCAAGATCAGGAGTTCGAGACCAGCCTGAGCAAGAGTGAGACCCCGTCTCTACTAAAAAATACAAAGAAATGATCTGGACAACTAAAAATGTATGTATAAAAATTAGCCAGGCATGGTGGCACATGCCTGTAGTCCCAGCTACTTGGGAGGCTGAGGCAGGAGGATCGCTTCAGCCCAGGAGTTTGAGGTTGCTGTGAGCTAGGCTGACACCATGGCACTCTAGCCCGGGCAACAGAGCAAGACTCTGTCTCAAAAAAAAAATGGGGCAGGTCTCCACGGCCCCACTTTCTCTGTGAGGACCTTTGGCGAGCTGCTGCCGGCAGCACAGACCGTGACCCAAGAGGGTTTTCAGGGCTGGGGCAGTTTCATCGCTCCTAAAAGTGCAGAAGTTCCGTTTACCCAGAGACAACTATACAAATGCCTGATCAGTAAAGCAAGTCAACCTTGAAACCCAGATTCCCAGCCCCTACGTCTGCCCCGTCCTTACCGTCCAGAGGTGTCACTGCGACAGCAGCTACGGAGCCTGCAACACAGCCCGACATAAAGGAGTGAGCGAAAGAGGCCTTTCCGGTAAGCTCGTTGAACCCCAGGTTGTTCAGGTTGGCGAACAGCGGGAAGTAGATGATGGAGAAGGGAATATCTCTGCAGAAGAGGAGGAAGAAACACTGAGCCACGTGCGGCTCTGGGCTCCACCCGGGGTCAGGGAGCCCTTCCCGTGAGCTTTGGGCCACTCATGGGTCAGAGGTGAGCCACAGAGACCTGCTCCTACCCTGGCACCCCCTGATAACGTAGGGTGATGGGCCCTGTTGTCTTCCGTCCCTCCCTCCCAGCTCATTCCTCTGCCCTCCAGCACTGCAGCCTCTTCGCGGGGAGTCGGAGGCAGACGCACAGTGACGCGTCCTGGGCAGGTGGGAGAGCCGGGGCGGGGAACGGTACCGGCCAAGGCGCGTGGTAAGCTGGGGGCACGTTCACGCATATGTTTATACATTTTCTGCAGTCCTTGGTAGACAGCGTTAAGTGCCTTTGGGCACAAAACCCAGTCCTCACGTGGGCCTGGTCACTGGGGAAGGGGCTGCAATCTTTGGTCTTCCAGGCACCCATTCTGAGTGACCATGGCCAATTCTGGATGCCACAGGAAGCATGGGAACAGTTTGCTGACCTGGGCTTGAGTATTCTTGGAAGAATTCAGAGGCAGGCTGAGGCAGCAATCCGCCAGCTCCCCATCCCCTCCCCTGTGCACTGGTCCCAGGATGCAGGCCTGGCGGTGTCCCCGGGGCAGGAAGAAATGCTCACCTGAGGAGAGTGGCACCCAGCCCCTTGTAGAGGCCAGCCACACCCTGGGTGCGGAGCAGCTCCCAGGCAATGAGGGTGGCAGAAGGGCGCTTGTGGGTGGAAGCCGAGCCGGTCGTGTAGGGCCTGGTGGATGACGGTGCTGAGGCCGCGCCCTGGTGACGGGCGGCTGGAATGAAAGGACAGGCTCCATCACAACCCAGGCCCCGGCGGGTGCGGCCAGACACTCCCAAGAGTGACTCCCATTCCCATCCTTGCGACAACTCAGAGGCAAGGGCGAAGATTGTCCTAATTTTAGAACATTAATTTTTGGGTCCAAGGAAATCTTCCCTCAGTCCACATTATCTACCGAGTTGCCCTGCCGCGCGGGGTGCGGCCCCAGGGCCCGCGGCACCCCTGGATTCCTTGGCCTCCTATTAAAACTTTTCGGTCTGTCTTCCATTTCTAAACTGTCTCGAGCCTAGGTAGATAGTTTCACACTCAAAGCACGCTGGGACGTAGGGACCCAGTGTGTCGCCTGATGTCGCGAAGAGGCACATTCGCCTTCTGGCTTCCAAGGCCGCCGCCCTTGCGCTCCAGTGTTAGGGGACAGGCTTTTTATGCCCTTCACCATTGACAGAATTTCGTTCTTTGGATGCCAGCTCACTGCAGTTGAATAATTCAGAGCCCATCATTTGATAAGTTCAGTATCTAGTAATTACAATGGAATTACTTTTCCTGAGCATTTAAAATGTGAGTCCCGTTAATGACACACAATTTAATGCATTGAGATTGTGTGAATATTTATTTTCTTAAATTTCAGTGTTTGAGAAGCTTTCGATGTCGCAGCTTTGTTGGGTGCCAGCAGGGCCACACCCCACACTAGGAAGCTGCGTGGCTGCATGTGTTTTCTCATGGCGATCGTCTCGGTGCAGCCCCCAGTTAGCTCCAACAAGTTAGTCAATAGGAACATCATTCTCCCCAACGTCATCTTCAGATGCACACAATTCATCCACATCCTATCTTTTACCTCTTGTTAGATGTTTTAGGGACACTGAAACTCCTTACCCAGCTGGAAAAACTAAGCACTGCAGGCTTTTACTCTCTGTGGATGGAAGCCCACTGAGACTGTCCAATGCCTAACTGTGTTCTTCCTGCGGTTTTATTTACCTGGGGCTGGTCTCACCCAATCCAGAAATCCGGCTGGATTCTAGCACGGCACATGTGCACGGCTGAATTGAGGAGGGGCCAGGCACCCCCATTTACTGAGGACCGTCTCCTGCCTGCCAGGTGCTGTGTTGGGTCCACCACACATTAGCTTCCTCAGTTCAGACGTTGCGGCTTCTGTCCCGCCTCGCCAGATGGCCGGCCCTGCTCTTACTGTACGTGCTGGCATCTACGCCACTCTCTACTTCAGGGAGGACCTGGATTTAGGAAAGGGCCAAACTTCTCCTCCAGGGAAAACCAGAAGAATAGGAATGGATCTCTTCTCCCTTGTGATGCCTTCCTGGTGCGGGCCAGCTACACTACCCGTGACGGAGGTGTTTAGCAAGCAGATTGTGGACGTTTCTTAAAATCCTTAGGAAATTAAGCCTAAATATCAAGGAAATATGATAGAAGTATTAGGTATATTTTCTGTCTCTCCCGAATCAGGATTCTCATTTGTGCTATTTATTCTAGATCTGGCAGTGTTGAAAGGTGTCACCAAAAATAGACTTCTGCTGACTTAGAAAGCTGACTGGTCACACGGTCTAGCAAATGAGGGTGGGATGTGGGACGTGACCCACTCCAGTGGGAAGCTGGGACAGGCCTCACCCAAGCGCCCAGCGTCCTGCAGCTGAATCTTGAGCATTTCCATGGGGCAGGTGACCACCACCTGGCAGGCTCCAGCTCCGCAGCCGGCGAGCATCTCCAGCTTCAGGTTCCGCTGCAGCCTGTGGACCAGGAGTCAGGCCCCGTCAGGGGCGTGGACCTTTAGCCCTGTCACCCTTGGCTGCCACTCACCCGCAGGGAAAGTCATCACCTGGCCCTCAGGCTCAGCCTCCTACAGACGGAGACGAAATGGAAAAGCTGCCAGGGAGGCAGCTTTGCAAGTTGCAAACGGCAGTGAAACTGCCCAAGGCAGGGATGTGATTCTCCCCGGTCCCTCAAGTGCTACCACTGGGAAGGGGAGGCGCAGAGGGAAACAGAAAATGATGTTTGCAAAGGCATCGCCAGCTGATGCACATGCCTGAGCTCTCTCTGTTCTACACGTCATCTACCACCCAGCTGCCACCAGCTCATTCTCTCCCTTTACCCTCCGTCCACCAGAACACACACCAGCCCTCACCCACATACGTGCACATACTCACATACGTGCGACAGGGAGAGGCAACATTGCGATCCTCCCCCAAAACCACACGGTGAAGGCCTCCATCCCCGCCCCACCCGGCCATACCCATCTTCCATGAGCAGCTGCCGGAAGAAGTCGTTGGCTGCCAGCTTGATGGCCTTCTCCGGAGTGACCAGGGTTAGGTTCACCGCGGCCCCTGGAAGTGAAGGGTGAAGAGGAGGCGTCAGGGCCACCCTGGCATGTGCTCGGCCAGGCACTTCTCGGGGGGGGTGTCGGGGGCAAGAGGGCTCCTTGGCCTGTGTTATTGAATCAATTTTTGTTTTCCTTCCCTTTCCCTGCCACACCTTCCTCCTTCTTATGTATTTGTTCCTTTGTGGACTCAGTCCAGTTATCAGAACATCACGTTATTTTTGTCCTTCCTTGCTGGTTCTGCCACCTCCGCCGATAAACAGGCGGTTCCCGGTGACAGGCCCCTGGGTCTCGGGGACAGTGTCCCAGCTGCCTTGTGCTATGCCAGCCCAGTCCCACTGGCAGCGTGGCGGTTCCTGGAGGCTTCATTTTATTTCTCAGGGGTACTGGCATAGTGGCTCTGTCTCAGCTCCAGCTTTGGGTCCATTTCCCACGGCACAATCGTGGTGGGGACGTGGCCTGGGAAGAGCCACCCTGTACTCCTTTCCATTCCCCGTCCCTGTCGGCCTCTGCCCTTTCTGTTCTTAGGAGCTGGATGTCCTGAAGACAGGCAGGGAGGTGCCAGGGAAGGACAAAGAGGGAGGCAGGGACGTGGGGCCCACTGGTTTTTCATGCCCCGCGGGGAGGCCCTGGGGAGCTGGGGGGACCCAGGGCGCGGGGCCCAGTGTGCTCACTGAGGTCTCCGGAAGCCTGACCCGGAAACATAGCTACCTCTGTCTCCACCAGAGGACGGAAGGCCTGCGAAAAGTTACCGAAGACGTCAGGTAGCCCACGGCCATCCCAGCAGCTCCTGGGCAGAAGGACCGATTCCCAACGCCCCACACGCTCACAAAGTCCGAGCCTCTGTGCCGCACCTGCTGTGCCCCCCGGCCCGGGCCCCCTTGCCTGGCACGCCCACCTCGGTACATGCCCAGGACGCCCTCGGCCCGCGCCGTCGTGGTCAGGCAGTCCATCCTATAAGCAGGGGCCGTGGGAGCAGTCAGCGGTGGTGGGGGCTGCTCCGCCACCGCCCCCGGCCCCACGCTGTTGGCACATCCCAGCCGGCCCCTCCCGCCCCACCTTCACCCATAGCCCCCCACCGACACCTACATTCCTTTGTACACGGCTTTCCCGTGCTGGTTCTGCAGCCGAGTCTTGGCCAAGTCGATGGGGAACACGCAGGTCACCCCCACGAGCCCCGCCACGCCTCCGTTGATGAGTTTTGCTGTGATGCTAGGCCGGGGGCAGAGAGGCAGGCAGGTTGCAGAGCCGCACCCAGCCGGCCCCAGGGGGAGCAGGGCAGGGGGCGGGCAGGATGGCCACCGGCGACCAGCCGGTGTCCAGAGACCCCTCTCCAGCGCCGGGCAGCGGGCGGGACGGGCCTGCACGCACCAGGGCGGAGGCGTCTTGGCTCCCAGAGCCGGGACGCGCAGGGGCTTCTGGGAAGGGCCAGCTCTGCGCCCCGGGGCCCCACTCGGGCACAGCAAGTCGCCCCTGGGCCTCCCCCAGCTCCCAGGCCCGCTCCCCGCCGCTCCTTGCCCTCCCAGCCAAACAAACCGCAGCTCCGTTTCCCACCTAAGGTCACGCAGGGCTGAGTCAAACCTGCCCATGCCGTCTCCTCACCCTCTGAAACTAAGGCCACGTGCAGGGATTAAATAAACTAATGCAATCGTAAATGGCAGCTGTTGGTAATGACAAGAGAACACACATTTCTGACAATGAGGTCTAGTCGGCACGAGATGCCAGGGCTAAGGCACTGAGATGATCTGATTCTAGCCGAAAGTGAAGGCGAAGTTCAGGTGATGTGGGCCCTTCACCCCGGTGAGGACAGGAGTTTCAGAAGACAGAAAGTAGAACCTAAGTCTTCCACAGACTCCTTGGACCTGGCGAAATGTTCTTATCTTTCAGGCCGGAGACAGACTGTGAGCTAAATATTTGGGGACAGATTACCTGGAAGTGGCAAGAGTAGATGATAGTTTTTCCACAAGTGACCCTTGATAAGCAAACAAGAACTCTGTGACGACAGACAGAACTGCGACTCAAATCTGCAGTCACGGAAGTTGGTCCAAGCAATTTCAAATTATATTTAACAATATTATATGTGTCTATGTATGCATATTTATCCCTATATGTTAACATATAATATGTATACTTGGGGGAGAGGGGTCTCACTGCCTTTCCCTAGGACTCAGCCAAGGAGCGATGTGCGGTCACCACGGCAACTCCCTCCCCACCCCCACCCCGCCCCCGGCCCAGAGAGGTCAGGCTGCCCCAGAGGGAGCGCACCTCAGATCCTGCTGGGACATCCTGCAAGGGTGGAGGCCTGTGGGTGGATCCCAGGACACAGGGCTGTTCACTCCTCGGGGCAGCTGCCGCCGGGGCTGGCCGAGGGGGAGGAAGCGGTGTCCGTCTCCCGGACTCTGGCCCCTAGCGGAAGGGACAGAGCAGCGCTTTTCAGTGCAAACCGGCTGGAGCTGCCTTCCCAGTGAGTCACAGCCTTCCTGGGCGGCAGCTTCCTCCCCTGTAGAGTGGTTAGAACAACACCCACCTCGTGGTGTGAAAAATCATGTATGTGATAGGACAAACATGACATTTTTTTTTAGAGACAGGGTCTCACTCTGCTGCCCAGGCTGGTGGCCCAGGCAGTGGCACAATCATAGCTCACTGCAGCCTCGAATTTCTGGGTTCAAGCGATCCTCCCACCTCAGCCTCCTAAGTAGTTGGGACTACAGGCGCGTGCTACCATGCCCGGCTAATTTTTCTTATTTTTTTTAGAGACAGGGTCTTGCTATGTTGCTCAGGCTGGTCTCAAACTCCTCAGCTCAAGCGATCCTCTTGCCTTGGCCTCCCAGAATGCTAGGATTACAGGCGTGAGCCACTGCGCCCGGCCGACAAACATTATTAATGGATTAATGCTGTCTGCTTGCTCTATTTTTGTCCCTTCCTAAAACTTTTGGACCTTGGGATTCAAATCAGAATCTTCAACCTTTTGGACTTTGGGGCCCGGATGAGAAGGAAGGGGATGAGAAGCACCGGACCCAGGCTGAAGCTGTAGGAGAGGCGTCCTGGCGTGAGCCCGGCAGGGCTTGGCGCGGAGCTGAGGGCAGCTGGGGGTCGGAAGGGAGGGTTTTTTTTTTTTTTTTAGACAGAGTCTCACTTTGTTGCCCGGGCTAGAGAGAGTGCTGTG